ACCTCGACTTACGCTGCCGCAGTGCACTCGCCTCGATCTCTCTCCCCCCGCCATCAGCACAGTGGACATCCTCCTATGCGCACCACGGACATTCCTGAGTATGATGGCACAACCCGTGTCTCTCGCTGGTTGCAGATAGCAATGCGCACGCTCTCTATGACGACCACCCGTCAGGAGTTGTGGTGCGATGTGCTCGCAACCAAATTGCGAGGTAGCCCTTCCACTGCGTGGGAGGATCATTATACCCAGCGCCTCCGCGTGGGTGAGGTCCCCACTCTGGTCGACCTCGTGGCCTTCCTTCAGGACCGTTTCGGCGCTCGTCATGACGCCACCGACGCCTTAGACCGCGTCACCCAGACCAGATGGTCCGGGTCCTCTGTACCGGCCGACCTGGAACGTCACATCCGGGTGTTTCAGGACGCTCGCCTTTTTTGTGACGAGACGTTCCTACCGGAGGTCACACTCACCGACCGGTTCCTTGTCAGCCTGCCGACTGACTATCGCCTAGAGCTATGGAGGCGATCATTCTCTTCCGCGGAGCAGGCATACGAGGYTGCRCGTCAGTACYAGAGGATGTGCAGTCGCTTCTCCGTCGCCCCATCCTCTTCGCGGCCAGCCGCCACCTCTCAGTCTCGGGGTACCACCCGAAGTCGCTCCTCGTTTGCTGGTCATTTTCGTCGCCCGACCCGCCCTGGAGCGTCATTCTCTCAGCGCTACAGTTCTCTGGAGTACGGCGAGAACTCCTCGGCCGAGTTTGACCCTACCCTTGGGGACGCCCCCGAGGACATCGAGCTACGAGACGTCATCCAGTATCACTTGGATGACGACACTGTTCCGGTGGCCGAGCGCTTGCTGATGGCCATGTCTGCCATGGGTCGTGCTCGTAGTCGGGTTGCAAAGGCTGGCGCCCGCACACCCACGGTTCCTCAGATAGACCTCCCGCAGGGTTATGTCCCTCCTCGCGGAGCTCTATCCCCTGAGGAGCGTGCCGCCCTCGAGGCCCGGCGCGGCTACCTTCGTTGCCGCCTAGATGGACACACCTCCTCACGGTGTCCATACCATACCGCCCTCGATCGGCACTACGCTGACATCTCTCGTCAGCGTCGATCTCAGTCCCCCCCCCGGCCCCGCCTGGCCAGCCCCATCCACCTAGCCACGGTGCACTGTGCCCCTGAGGCCTCGCACGTAGCTGGCTTTCCGACCACCGAGTCGCGGTTTGCCCCTTTGGCTACCCCACTAGAGAACCCTCAGGACACGATAGACGCAGTTCTCTCCGCCCCATTGTCTATCGAGGTACCGTCTKCCTCCCAGCAGACTGCCGCGTCTAGCGCTTCTTGCTTGAGACTTCCGACGCGTCGCGCCATTCGCACAGCCCGTTGTGGCGCTCAGCTAGCGACTCGCAATGACGTTGTGTCATCTCTCCTGGACTTGAGCATTCTGCAGGCTCGTCAGGAGTGCCTCACGAGACACATCAACATCCTGCGTCGTCTTCTCGCCTTGCTCTCTGACCCTGATCGCACCCTACCCATCATCCCTATTCGCCTAGGGACATCTACGAGGGTGTACCGCGCTTTATGGGACTCTGGCTCGCAGGGAGATTTCGTTCACCCTCGAGTGGTTGAGGAAGCTCGCCTAGCTACCTCTAGGTCTCGCTCTCCTATCTCCATTACCCTCGGAGATAACAAGACGCAGCGCTTTTTCGATCAGACGGTCCCCGACCTCCACTTTTCCCTCACCCTCCAGCCACCGGATAGTACCCAGGCGCCTCGGCGCTACCATTCCTCCGCCTACTTCGACGTGTTGGAGACTGGGTACGACTTTATCCTTGGCACTCCCTGGTCTCGCCGGTTCCGTAGCACAGAGGCCGAATGGGCGTTTGAGACACTCATTCTCAAAACGAAGTGTGGTCAAACCCATCGAGTCCTCTTCATTGGAACCACGGGCGACACCCCTCCAAACCTACCTCCCCAGGACCCTCGTCCTTCTGGGTCCCAACCAGACATCTCCTTCACTTCTCCCCGTCAGTTTGCTCACTTCATCCGATAGGAGGACGTCACGCTCTACTCAGTGAACGTCATGGATCTTCTTCGCTACGATCCACTCTGTCCCGAGGTTGAGCTCATCTCACTGGAGCCCGATCCCCCTGACCCTTCCTCCATCTTCGCGGCTCCCATCTCTACATCCACCCCGCAGCCTGCGGATACCCCCTCGACATCCCAGGTTCCTACGCCGTCCACTGCCGAGTCCACCCATATGTCTCGTGCCGACGCAGACGTTGAGGAACTCATGCGGTTCACGGCTGACTTAGAGCCCGTCATTCGCGACCTGATTCGGGAGTACCGCGACGTCTTCCCCCCGTATTTGTCATACAGCGGGATTCCCCCAATGCGCGGTGTCGAGCATTCCATCCAGCTCGTGCCTGACTATCGTGTTCACCATCAGGCACCATACCGACTCTCGATTCCAGAGGCGACGGAACTCAAGCGTCAGCTTGAGGAGCTCCTTCGACTTGGTTTCATTAAACCTAGTAACTCCCCTTGGGGTGCACCTGTCCTCTTTGCTCGCAAAGCAGACGGAACTCTCTGCCTCTGCATCGATTATCGCGGCCTTAACCGTTACACGGTTAAGAACAGTTATCCCATGCCTCGCGCAGATGAGCTGTTTGACCGTCTAGCAGGCAACCGCTTCTTCACGAAGATCGATCTTCGTAGCGGTTACCACCAGATCCGCGTTGCCGCAGAGGACCAGCCGAAGACCGCATTTCGGTCGCGCTTCGGCCACTACGAGTTCACGGTGATGCCATTCGGCCTCACCAATGCACCCGCCACCTTCCATACGATGATGAACGACATCTTCAGGGACATCCTTGAAGAATACGTTCTCGTATACCTGGACGACATCCTAGTCTACAGTCGTACCTTAGAATACCATATCGAAGACCTCCGCGATGTCCTACAGCGCTTACGCAAGCATGGCTTCTATGTCAAGCTCAGTAAGTGCCGCTTTGCCCAGCGCAAAGTGGACTTCCTAGGACACCATGTGTCTGACCAGGGTCTCCACATGGACGACGCGAAGATCACTGCTATTGCAGAGTGGCCCGTCCCCACATCTGCCAAGCAGCTTCGCAGTTTTCTAGGCCTCACCAGCTACTATA